GACACAATTAGTAATAATGTATACATGTTTTGTAATGACATTTTTTTTTTCAACAGTCTGCACACACAAAAATCTATAGAATGGACGTGCAAGCACTTTTCACTGTAGTTTACAGGTGGCGAACCCAAAGAAAAAAGTACTGAATGCATGCATCAGCTGAAAGCACACAAAAGGTCACAGACAATCAATGCAAGGCAAACCATAAAAAAGTGAGAAATCATTGCAAATTATCATTTTATTTGAACTTCTCATTATTATTTAATATCCCCCACTTGATATAATAATTTATACATTCTTTTACAATGCAATAGGCAATTATTAATATCCAGTTTATACAAAAGAATGTTCTCTTGGCTTTCAGACAGTGGTACTAACTGCACTACAAATGAGACCGAAGCCCCACTACCTAACAGTTAGCAATAGATACACCGCAGTCTAGTCAACCTCCCATGTGGCGCTGTGATGCTTAAAAAAAAATACATCAATTATTAAAAAAAATGACAATCTGCACTTTTTGGGCACGTCACATAAAGGAAAAAAATCTGGAATTCAGCACGACTACAGGAAATTATAGGGGAAGAGACCCAGAGTAAGACCAAGACAACAGTTTCAATTTAGCAACATGGCATGGAAAAATACCTGTATAAAAAATGACTAACAGTACATGTGACAGAAGGCTGGGGACAGATATATATAGTTATACGAAGAATAAATAGGTAAAAAAAAAAAAAAATACTCACTAAAAACTGCATACTTTATGAACACATCAGGTAACGTATAAAAGATACGTGCTTCAACAGAACTAACAAAAGAAAAAACATAGGTTTCTATAAATGGGGTTAAATAGCAAGAAACTAGTATAATATTTTAAAAAGGAAGCTAGTTGCATATCCTTTGCAGGATGTCATCATCATCAGGTGCTTTGCCGACTGGCGTGGGATGTAGAACTAACAGGTTAAATAGCAAGAAACAAGTAAAATATTTTTAATAAAAAAGCTAGTTACATATCTTTTAAAGGATGTTGTAGAAACAACCTCAAGCATTTTTTGGCTGTTTGTGATCCCAACAGACAATTTTACATTTGGTAGTTTGCCATTGCTTTCTGAATGGTAAGCTCTTGATACCACTGTCAAAGCTAATGCCAGATCACCAGCACCCTGGAATTGCAAAGTGTGCTCACAATGCCTAAGCCTTATTTTATGCTTCAATTCTACCTTGGGGAATAGAGGTTTGCCAGAGAGATTGCAAGGCTTCTCTGTCAGCAGTTTTCTTTTGGCTTTGTCAAGTCTTCTGTCAGTCAGGGACTGTCGGATGTTCCCTTTCCAGTTGACCCTGCTGAGTCATCCTGGAGGTTTGATTCCCTGGTTCTTGGCCTCCCATGGTGGCTGATTCTCCTTCATTCTGCATACATGTCCAAACCACGAAACTGACTGATCTACTTGTTTGTAAGGCCTGGGTTTCAAGATCATGAGGTATAGTCTGTGAACTTTGTTCCTTGGCCCACCTTTCTCAGATACCACATTTCTGAGGCCTGAAGCTGACTTCTGTGAGCTGTTGTCATTGCCCAGGGCTCACACCTGTAGGTCAGGACTGGCATATAGGTAGAGCGGTACACAGCCAGTTTTGTCTTGCTAATTTCCATTTTGCTGAGACAGGCCTAGTTTATGGCCTGGAAAAGTCTCCTAGCTCCTGCTTTTTCGAGCAGCCAATTCTAGCCACATAATGAGAAGAGAGACATTGGAGAACATTGTGACAACTGGAAAGATCAGTAGAAAAAAGGGTAGAGGCAGACCAAGAGAGATGATGCTGGATGGGCTGAAACAATGGCATGGAGGGATATCATCAAGAGAGCTGTTTCAGGCAACCAGTGATCGTGATCTGTGGAGACGCACGAATGCCTACGCCAGCTGGCAGGGCACATGATAATGATGATGAACTCTAGCTATCAGGACCACATCATCTGCAAACACCAGCTCTGATAAGCAGACTGGTCTCATATTCCAGCACCCTAGTGAGTACTTCTTGGTCTTCTCTTGACAGGCCTTGATGACATCATCCAGCAGAAGGAGCAAGAGGTCTTCTTCTTCTTCGCATTCACTAGCTGTAAACTCTAGTGGAAAGTTTTGGTTGTTCGTCCACTTCTGGACTGCAGTCCTGTTCCAAAACCTGAGTTTTGCGTGTGCATCTGTTTGACAGTTCTGAAACATTTGTGTGCAGACTGTTGGTTCCTTGCCTCTCAGGCAGATGCACTCTGACTTCGAAGGAAGCTCCCAATTAGTCGACTCTTACGACATGCTTTTGGGTAGGCAGTGGGTCTATTCTTGTTTTCCCCATAATAGGGCCCCGGAACCCACACGGGATAAAGAGGAAGAGGTAAGGTGACAGGATATATCCTTAACGCCACTTATGGTCTTACATTTTTCTAACGTTTGGTTTCCTGTTCTTATATTTCTTCTTCTTCTGCGTTCGATATCAGTCATGCTAAACATTGAGTCCCGTCTGGGTCACAAATAGGATTGTGCGTTTAAGGTCGCCACCGGTCCCCCATAGCTTCTCTTGCAATGTGGCTCCATTGGGCCAGATCCACAGTCTTTGCTGGGAGAGGTAAGGGCAGTACTGCAGTATGTGTTCAGGGGTTTGTCTTTCTGCTCCACAATCACAGGCAGCAGATTCTTTTATGCCTATCCTGTACAAGTGTGCTCGAAGACCACAGTGTCCAGTCCGAAGTCTAAGAATTGATGTTTGTTCTTTCCTGTTGAGTTTGTTTATGCTGTCACTCTCTGGTCTGTAATCTCCATTCTGCCTTCTCCACTCCCGCTTGAAAGACTGCTTTAGCGCTGTTTTGGTTTCCTTGTAGCTGTGTGGTGGATGAGGTTGTGGAAGATTACTCCCAGCTTTTGCCAACTCATCTGCTCTCTCATTTCCTTGAATACCACAGTGGGCTGGTATCCACTGCAAGACCAGTTCTGCTTCCTTGGAGAGTAAGCCAATGTTGGTCCTTAGATCAGCAATTATTTTGTCTTGTTTTTTGCTGGATAGTGCTTGGAGAACAGACAATGAGTCGCTAAGTATAACAATTTGGTGCCCTCTGTGTTCTTGAGTGATGAGATGTTGGACTGCAGAAAGGAGGGCAGTTGCCTCAGCTCTGAAGTTAGTGCAGATGTCACCTGCTGGTAGAGAGAGAGTTTCTGCTCTACTGCTAGGGGGTTTAATGTAAATTCCACAACGCCCCTTTCTGACTGCATCTGTAGCAGAGCCGTCGGTGAAAACCTGAGTCCAAGTGGTGTTTGGATACTTCTCATCAAGCATAGCAAGAGCCAGGGTTCTCTGTTGTGTCTCCGTCTGGGCATCTTTTGAAGTGATTCCTGGTACCTTTAGGACTACATTTGCTTTCTCTGGCTTGCTTGTCCATGGTTCTGGCCTAAGTTTTTCGCACAGTGCAACATCTCTTTCAAGCAGATCTTGGTGCTGTCTGTACAGTTCTCTAGCAAGGTGGTTGGGGCTCTGACGCTTCAGTCTGTTTTTTGTTCTCTCTTGAAATTTAAAATGCAGTGGGTGACTTTGAAGTCTTTTTAATTTCTCATACTGTAAAAGAGTTTTGTATTGTCTTCTGAGTTCGAGTGGTTCAGTATCTGCTATCTTTTCTATTTCTCTGATGGGGGTGGTTTTCATGGCTCCGAGAACAATCGTTAATCCCATGTTCTTATATAATTTTTGCAGTTTGTGTAGAAACTTGTGTTGCACTGAACAGGGGTGTTGGAATGTTCTTTCCTGCCAAACAGTCCCAGAGTTTGCTCAGGGAAACATTACCAACTGGCTTTTTTAGATCCAGGAAACATAAGTACACTTCACTTTTACATTCTAAGACTTTTTCACTCATGCCTAAACCACAGAAATTAATCCAGTGAATTGCTGAATTCAAAAATTTTACCAAATGAGTAAGCATAACAACAATGAAGCAGAACAATGTGCATAAAACATACATTTAGATGTTTTGGCTAGGGCCTTTCTTGACATGAACTAACTATAGCCATAGACATACAATTAAGATAATTAAAATTAAAACAGATTGGAAGTCATGTGAAATCTTTTCATTTGGGTGCATTTTATAGTCATCAACAACAAAAACATACACAGACTGGTCAACTAGATAAGAATCGGATACATATCTATCCTTCATAGGACATCTCAAGGGAGGGCAACAACAGATCATAGACTTTTTCCACCATCCAAGGAGGCTTCCATAAACGCAGAGCTGACACATGACACACTGGTCCTGGACTCACCCATGGAATCATCACATCTGGCTACTACTTAACCTCACATCTGTATGTTGAGCTTCCCATTCGTCACAAGCTGCACTTGAGGAGATCAACAGGGAGTAGCCCGTAGGTCTAGGACTTTGATAACTGCCCAGTGGGCAGAATCTCCTTCAGCACATTAGGACAACACTCGAACATTTCAAGATCAACCCAAGCAAATTTACGTTCAGTAGTTTGTCACTGCCCCCTGCACGGTGGGCGCTCTTTATTACTGTCAAAATAAACAAAAAGGGATCTGTTGCAAAAAGAATTTCAGCTGAACCCAACCAAGTATTTCAGAATTACAAAACTCATTCATAACACCTAAGCCACATACACACAAACATCCAACCAGCACTGGTTGGAAAAATAAATCATGGCTTTAAACTTGCGACCACCATCTTGGTCAGCAAGTGCACATATCACTGAGCTACCACAGCCACTTTATAATTAATGCAACAAAAGAGAAGATATACATATTTAAAGGCAATAAAAAGGGGAAAACAATGAACAGACAGAGAAAGTGAAGCAAAAGAAATCATATGCTGTTATATATCTTGCATAAACATAGATATTGAATTGTTTCAAAATCATAGTAAGCAGACCTGCTGCCTCTTACAAAGCACAAGAACACACCAGTTGTTGATTTTCTCAATCCTGAACCTCTCTTCATTATCTCTGACATCTTCCTGGAGTCTCTCATTGCATCTCCATTGGGATGAAGTTTCGGGCCGGCAGCGTTGACTTGTCCAAGTCAGAGAAATATCTGTGTTCCAGGATGTCTTTAGCCGATATCCTCAAAGCTGGGTTGTAAATCAACATTTTCTAATGGGAGAAATGAAGAAATAAATAAAGACACATTTAGTCAGAAGAATACTGAATCTCCACTAGACAGAGTTAAGATTCAACACGCAAATAAGATAAGAGACCAAGCTAGAAAATGTACCAAATTTTATAAGAAAGTGCCGCTTGAATTACTTTGGCCATGCACTCAAAATGAATTAAAAAAAAGACTTCCCCATCAAGCCCTCATATGGACACCGGAAGGGAGAAGAAAACGGGGAAGACCAAGAGAGACTCTGTATAGAACCATCATCAGGGAAGGCTCAACTATGGGCCTCATGAATATCCAAGACCTAAATCAGGTGGCAACGAACCGCCAGACATGGAGAGCTATGACCTCTGCCCGATGCGCCGCCTTAGGCTCAAGAGGAAAGACTAACATTTAGTCAGTGGTCTCCAAATATTTCAACTAAAAAAAAAATTATAAGTAACTATATTTCTTTTTCTCTTCTCTACACCCTGTTGTGTCTTTCAGAGTTACATTTAAAATGACATCTGGTGCGAGCTAAATATGCTGGTATTTATGGCCTCAGATATTCTATTCACCCATCTTGTGTGGGCGACCCCCAGGTCTGCTATCACAGTGTCTCAGTCACATGGCTCGCTTGGTGCTTTATCTTAGGGTAGTCTGGACACATGCCTAAACCCTCTGATTTGTTGTCATTTGATGCAGGTTCTGCCCCAGCTTGTTTCCTGGTATCATCATTTCTGACTCTCTTCTTGTTACATACAGGCTTTGTCATAGCCATTTAGAAATATATTCATGACTTTAAAATCAATGTCACTTCTTGTTACATACAGGCTTTGTCATAGCCATTTAGAAATATATTCATGACTTTAAAATCAATGTCACTTCTTGTTACATACAGGCTTTGTCATAGCCATTTAGAAATATATTCATGACTTTAAAATCAATGTCACTTCTTGTTACATACAGGCTTTGTCATAGCCATTTAGAAATATATTCATGACTTTAAAATCAATGTCACTTCTTGTTACATACAGGCTTTGTCATAGCCATTTAGAAATATATTTATGACTTTAAAATCTATGTCACTTCTTGTTACATACAGGCTTTGTCATACAGACATTTAATAAAACATATTTATGACTTTAAAATCCATGTCTCTTCTTGTTACATACAGGTTTTGCCATACATCATCATCATCATGTAGCAGGTCCTTTGCAGAACGTCGCTCTCATCACAGTGTGCCTGAAAGAAACTCGGTCTCTCGCCAGTTCTCCTGCCTCATGCACTTTCACACTCAAGGAGTCACTTATATCCTGTGCCCATCTTCGTGTTGGTCGGCCCCTGCCCCTCCTTCCTGGTACCATGCCTTCTGCTATAATTTTTTCCAGTCCGTCGTGGCGCTTGATATGACCAAAATATTTCAGCTTTCGTGAAAGGATGCTGTTTATTAGCCAATCTTCCTTGATGTTCAGATCTTTTAAGATTTCAATATTTCTCATCTTCTTTGTCATAGATATTCTGAGAATCTTTCTATAAGATTTCAGCCCAAAAGCCCCTACTCTCTTTCTTAAGGACTGAGAGATAGTCCACGACTCACATCCGTATGTAGCCACAGGGAAGATGCATGCTCTCAAAATTCTAATTTGGGATCTCCTTGCTGGTCCTTAACCATAGACTTTTAAGGCTGTTCAATCTCTGCATTGCTATGGCCATCCTCCTTTTAATTTCTATTGAAGTCTCCATTGTTGTTTATTACACATTTAGAAAATATATTTATGACTTTAAAACCTACATCTCTTCTCGTAACATACAGGCTTTCTCATACAGACATAGAGAAAATATATTTATGACTTTACAATCTATTCCTTATTTCCTCACTAAAAATAATCCACATCTGGTTTAGTAATCCTGTGTTGTGTTTGGCGGTCCCTTTTTGGGTTGCACACACACAAAATTATTGACCCCAAGCCTCCCCCCCTCCCCCAACTCTTTGAGTCCCATGGAATGCATCACATGTTCCTACCTAGAAGCCCAAATAACCCATGATGCCTCAATTTCATCTCTCTTTACTACCCCTTAGGCCTGTGATGCTAAACTCCCTGGGACCAAAAGTTAAAAATTGACAAATTAAAGGTTTACTGGAATCGGATATGTTGGGCTAAAAGGCGTACAAATTGTTAAGGCTGAATGCAGATGAAAAAGCGATGTATTTTTCCAAATCAAGGGGGAATCTAATTTCAGCAAGCTTTTGTGTAAACTTTACTTGTGAATGGTACCATCAGTATTGGAACTCTGCGCTGGCTGCTAAAGATGACGACAGAGCATGCATGGGAATGCCCCAAGTGCTGTGATGTCAATTCTTGATTTGACTCAACTCAACTATTATAGCAAACTGAGCCGCTGGCCAAATGGCTAGAAAACCTGGCTCTGTACAGGAAACCCAAGTTTCAATTCTAGGTTCCCTGTGTGGGTTCCAGGGCCCTATTACAGGAAAAACAAGAAAAAACCCACTGCCTACCCACAAGCATGTCGTAAGAGCCGACTAATTGGGAGCCTCCTTTGAAGTCGGGAGTGCATCTGCCTGGGAGGCAAGGAACCAACAGTCTGCATACAAATCTTCTTCTTCTTCTTCGCGTTCACCAGCTGTACACTCTGGCGGAAAGTTCTGGTTGATCGTCCACTACTGAACTGCAGTCCCGCTCCAGAACCTGAGTGTTGCGTGTGCATCAGTTTTACAGATCTCATTCTCTTGAATACAGACTGTTGGTTCCTTGCCTCTCCGGCAGATGCACTCCGACTTCAAAGGAAGCTCCCCAATTAGTCGACTCTTACGACATGCTTTTGGGGAGGCAGTGGGTCTATTCTTGTTTTCCCCACAATGGGGCCCCGGAACCCACACAGGGGTGCATACAAATGAGTCAGATCTTAAAACGGATGCACACGCAACACAGGCTCTGAAACAGGACTGCAGTCCAGAAGTGGATAAACAACCAGAACTTTCCACCAGAGTTTACAGCCAGTGAACAAGAATAATAACAATTCTAGGTAAGATGACAGATTTTTTTTTTCATAAATCTTAACCGGAACTGTTTATGGCTTGTGCCCCAGCCATGTGATCTTGATCATCAGGCTCAAGAGGCCCTATCTACGCTGTTCTATAACGTGGTCAGTGAAGACAGTTAATACAGAAATCTTTAAAATTCACCTGTAATAAGTCTAGTCCCAAGGAATCAAGTCTTTTAACACTGGATGCCAACTGGTTGGTCTTCCAGTGAGGAAATGTGGGTTTAAAGTCAGGTAGATTTGATACACCTGGCCAAGTTTCTTCTGTTGGTGTGGTCAAAGTTCTGTGGAATGAAAGTCACACAAAAATGTGATTCTGGACATGTAACTGACAACAGTGCTTTCTACCTGATTTACCACACAATAATCAGGTGAATGCTGAGACTGGTCACAGCTTTAACAATAAAAATGAACAATGCCCTCTTTTTGTGTAAACAGGAGTTAATTATCTTCTTCTTTATTGACCAGCTGTAAGCTTTGGCAGAAAGTCCTAGTTGTTCATCCATTTGGACTTTGGCTTTGTGCCAGGGCCTGAGTTTTGCATGCACATCCGTTTCACTGGCTTATTTGTGTGCAGTTGGTTGTTCCTTGCCGCTCGGGCAGAAGCACTCCGAACTTCGAAGAAAGTCCTGAGTTAGTTGACTCCTAGGACATGCTTGTTGGGGAGGCAGTAGGTCTATTCTTGTTTTCCCCACAATGGGGACCCGGAACCCCCACAGGAAAGTTCATTATAAATTTGAAGCTACCCTGGTAAGTCATTTGACTATCATGAATTTCCGGTGATCAGACGAACACAATGTATCGAGAGAGATCATTTGTATGTCAGTTGAACATATTCAGCTTTTTGTGCATCTTTATACGCTGACATAACTGTAGAAATGCTCCAGACAAAATACAGAATCAACAAAATGCAAACAGCTGTGTAAACTTTGCTTAATTTAGCTAAGCAAATATGCACAAGGATATCCTCTACGGTGAATTGAAGATGGGTAGAAGATGTCAAGGTCGACCTCTACTACAATATAAAGTGGGACATGAATGATACAGGTATCAAAGTGGACTCATGGAAACAAAATTCCAAGGACCGTGTTGTTTGGAGGGTGCACGTCAGGAAGGGATTGGGAATGAAGGAAGAAATGATTGCAGAAAGGATGAGAGCCGAGCGCCTGAGAAGAAACAGTAAACACAAATATTGACAACAGTCCTGAAATACCATGCTGTATTGTGGAAGACTTTTCTTAACACAGGTGGGTCTTGAGATCTTCTCTTTGTTTATCATACTGTCCAGAGTTTCTTGCTTTGTGACTAGAAGTAGTTTAGTGTTTGAGATTGTATCTGGCCAAAAATTTTTTTAACAATTCTACGTAGACATGTGTGGTGGAAGATGGATAGCTTGAGCGCATCCTTTTTGGTTATTCTCCAGCATTTTGCTCCATAAAGAAGAACTGGCATAATGATGCTCTTGCAGAGTCAGAGTTTTGCTCCTCTACAGTTAACTGTTCAATTTTCAGATTTGCCTCATCCTTCCATAAGCAGCTCTAGCTTTGTTTTGAACGTGATTGTATGTCTTCCTCTGTCCCTCCCAAAAGTGACACCACACTGCCAAGATTTGTGAACTGTTCTACATTTTCAAGTGTCAGGCTATTTATGGTGACTGGTTGTTGGTTTAGACTGTTTGTCATTATCTTAGTTTATGTTTTACAGTTATAGTTACCTGAAAATGCGGAATAACTGGTCTATTTCTGAGTCTCCATGAAAAAGTGGACGCTTGGTCACCATTTCTGCAAAAATACACCCAATACTCCAGATGTCAGCAGGTACAGAATAACGCTGAGATCCCAGTAGAATTTCTGGCGCCCTGTACCACAAAGTGACAACCTGGCAGATAACAATATTTTCAATGATTATTGACAGATCATCATTATACAGTGTGATGATGCATAATGTACCCCATTTGCCTGTTGTTATCTTTTTCGAGGAGCTGAACAGTTAGAACGCTGGGGTTTCATGCGGGAGACCTGGGTTCAAATCCTCAGTAAGGCTGGAGATTTTTCTGTGGGGGAAGGGGGAGCAAAATAAAATTCTCACCTGCAAAGTCATGGCGACAGCACTAGCCATGCAGCCTTAAATCCTCAGACTCAAAAGACCCCCTGACTACACAGCAAAATGGTATATAAAGGCAGTAACTATCTTTTTTAAAAATCTTCACATACTTCACATGCCTGCTTGAGTAGAGGCTCACAAAGTTGCCTGAACAGGTGCATAGTATTAGACAAACATTAATATTAATGATCAGAAAAGACAAAAACTACACATCTCACTTATAATCTAGAAGGGTGGAACAGGATATCTCTGATTAAATTACTACGACTACCTTTGTTAAAAACTACCAACAACACGATACCAGTTACTATCTTTCCATACAATAGTGTTATATTGTGCTGAGGAGACACAGCCCATGGCGATAATGAATGTGGTTAGTTAGACCCCTGTGCGCTAAGAAAAGTCATCCACAATTACAGCATGGGATTGCAGGACTACCATCACATCTATTCAGTGAGCTTCTCAGATGCTCAGCTCTCAACTTATCTGCAATCCCTTTCTTATATCACTGACTCCCCCCCCCCCCCCCCCCCCCACCTCAATACATATATCAATCTTTAAATTGTAGTAGAGGACAAACTCGACATCTACCCATCTGCAATTCACCACAAGGACTCTTCCAGCCTCTAAGTGTGATCGTGCTGTTAGGGCTACCTTAATTATAACTTCTTAGGAACTTGACTGGGACATCTGTAGCGTGGCGATTTAGTTCACAGGCATGAAGGAAAGGTAAAGCCGTTGTGTTGTGTATAAGGAGATACTCTGTACCTTACCTCCAGCGCTAGTTGCCTCTGTGCTGTTTTTAGGAATCTTCTTGCAAGGCTCCTGCCACATGTCCTCATCGTGCACTATGAATAATGGCTCAAATGAACCTAATCCAAGCTGGCGTGGGATCTCGGAGTTCGTGGCTCCTAGAGATGCAGTTTCCAGATATCCTCAGGCTCACATCATCCCACCCCCAATGCATGGGTGATAACGTCTATCAAAAACTGATTGGAGCATAAGTGAACAGTACTGGCCGAATATCTGACCATATGACTTGGTTTCAACGCCCGTCGACCGAAAATACTACTGATTAGGCTCAAATGTCCACAAGTCAGGTGTCGGGGTGCAGCCACCTCACAGTGAACTGTGGATACCCAGTCCTAAACCATCAGATTAGTTCACAGCATAGACGAGCAACATCTCCTGTGGGCGGTATCTTGCGGTTCTGTCCTATGGTATACAATTTTAGCTGTCTGACCATCTTACTGTGTGAAAGGCAAAGTTCAGAATTATGATCATTAAACGTCTCCTGTGTCACATACAAGGTTTAAATGTCTGCTACCACTGGCCCAACTCGTCAGAGTGTTGGACCCAAACAGAGAAGCCATGCCTGATGCATGCTTTTCCGATACTGTCGTGCTAGGTCATCATTAAAGGTCATCACTGGAAACAGAATTTGCCGGCTGCTGAAGATGAGGACAGAGCGCTTATGTGAATGTCCCAAGTGCTGTGATGTCAGTTCTCAACTCAACTCTCTAGAAAGCAACTTTGGAAGTGAGAATCATTCAGTCAACCTGTTAGGGAAAGAAAAAAAAAGTACAACTAACCTCATGTGTGTAAACCCTTATGGGGATACCGAAGGCTCTAGCAAGTCCAAAGTCTGCCAGTTTAATCACTCCACTGTCATTGATGAGCAGGTTCTGTGGTTTCAGATCTCGATGCAGAACCCTTCTTTTGTGGCAAAACAAAATGCCCTCTGTTATTTGATACACGTAGCTCTGAGGACAGATCACTGTCAACATCAGTTTTACTTGGCTACGACATTAGATCATTATGTTGAAAAGACATTCATTTTGCAATGTAATCTTAAGCACCAGCACTGGCATAGCAGCCTGCTGGTCATCTCATTGTGACCTAACACTTTTATCAAGGACAAACAGCATTTTCGGTAGCGACTGTTGGCTTTGGCACATCTAGCAATTGCCATATGCATTTACTGCAGGCGCACATTTTTGGGACTATTGTTTGTATACCATTTCTTTTTAAAAAATGGGGCAGCAAGGGACATTAAATCTGATTTTCACTGGCACAGGAACGGAGCAAGTAAGGGGTGACCTGATTGCAGTGAAGACGAATAATGGTCTGAAGGTCTAGAGTTTACATCTGTTCCATGGTAGATTTAAAAAAAAAAATGATCTTGGCTCTTAGGTAGACCAAGCCTAAAAATTGGTACAAGCTATTGCCCTGGGAAGTGAAGGCAACCAATCTGCCTTTGCTTATCCGAAAATTATCACTGAACCCATTTTTATGGTTGGTCAATGTAAGACCTTCATCTTCTCTCTTCTTCTTAAAGTCCATGTCGTGAGGCATTGGTAATCATGTCTATCCACGACCTTCCGTCCATAAAAATGGGTTCAATTATAATTTTAGGATAAGCAAAGGCAGCTGGCGTAATTCTTACATTACTCATCTAGTGCTGATTGGTCTGAAGAAAAGAAGGGGTCTTTGCACTATATTCAAAAAGTCCCAGGGCAGTGAATAAAAATAAAAACAAACGTTTAGATGACAATTCACAACACTACTGGTACCACATAAAAGTCAATGGTGTTATTTTAAGACAAGTACAGAAATTTAAGTATCTGGGCACATGGATAACATCAGATGGAAGATGCATAACTGAAATAAGAAACAGAATTGGACAGGCAAAAACTGCATTTTATAAAATGAAAAACATCTTGTGCAATATATCCTTGTCATTGAGAGTTAGAAAAAGAATTCTTGCTTGCTACATACATCCAGTTTTAACATATGGATGTGAATCCTGGACAATCGGTAGGCAGGCCAAACAATTTTTGGAGGCCTCAGAGATGTGGTTTTACAGAAGAATGCTTAGAATACCTTGGACAGCCAAAAAGAGCAACCAAGAGGTTTTAAAAGAGGCGGGAGACCGAAGACAACTTATCACTGACATCAGAAGGAGACAGTCATCATTTTTCGGCCATGTTATGAGAAGAGGGAAAATAGAACATGTTGTGACCACTGGAAAGATCTGTGGAAGGAGGGATAGAGGAAGACAACGAGAGAAGATGCTTGACAGTCTTGTTGCATGGCATGGAGGTGTGTCGGCACACGAACTGATACATGCTGCAGGAGATCGCGGATTATGGAGAGGCATGATCGCCCACGCCACTCGGCAAGGCACCTGATGATGATGACTGGTACCACTGGAATTTGAACTCTTAATTTGCTGCTGAAGATGGAGTGGAGTGCTATGATGATGTCGATTCTTAATTCAACATTTATAATGGTTGGGGAGAGAAGAGTACAGACATAAAAATTATGGATAGGTTGATAGGGTGGTACAGACAACAAGAACAAAATCTACGGATCAGTGTTAACTTTCATTTGACAGTTAGAAAGTCTAAGTACCTTTACAAGCATTGGGTCCATCATTCCTTCACGGGGAATACTATCAATGTATTTCTTTAAATCCATTGAGAGAAATTCAAAAACAAGGTAAAGTTTGTTCTCCTGCATCAAGACATCTTCTAAACTGAAATCAGACATGTTAAACAACCACATATAAATAATCTGTATGTCATTTCTGTCAGTTATACTCACTCTAAAACTTAATTACTTACTATATTAAGAAAATAGAAGAAACATCCGGATAACCAATGTTAACAATTTTTTTTACACCTTGTTATCTTAATGATATTCTTACCAATGCAATGCTAATAATGTCACAGTCTACGGTGACAGTTTTCAGAAGACAAGGAAAATAGTCACAGCAGAAATGAAATGTTTACATATTACACTAGGTGTAACAAGGTAAGATCAACTTAGGAACCATGCTATTATTAAGAGAGTTGGCATAGCACCAATACTGAACTTTATCTTTAAAGAACAGATCAAATGGTTTGGCAATATAAGAAGAATGGCATCAAACAGGGCACCACAGAGAGCAATGTTATACAGATACAATGGTAACAGAGCCAGAGGTTCACCACGCAGTAGATGGACCGCAAAATATCAGAGACACTGAAAAGTACTTTATATGAAGCAAACAGAAGGGTCCGTTCCAGAGATCTCTTCATGCCATGACGCCCCGAGGCAATTCAGGAGTAAAGGAAAGAAGAAGGTCAGAAGTTTTAAGGCAAGATATATACTGATATACTGGGCACGTCCTGAGGAGATGCAAGCAGAAAATAACCAAACAGGCACTGACAAGGTAAACAGAGAACTGAGAAAATTAGGACGCCCAAGAAAAACCCCAAAACACACACTGATGAGAGGCAAAAGATGATGGTCTGCAGAGGACATAACGGAATGTAGAAATAGACTGTAAGTAAGTCCTATGTGACATATTGGCAAAACATGATGATGATGATGACATAAAGAACACATAGTGATGCAAGTTACTCTGCACTGTTTGGTCAAGCCTGTGGCACAAAACATCAAACTTTGATAAGCATTTTATTGGGATATGCTTTCCTGTAGCCTCTGACTGCCCCTTGTCGACCTACAAGACACTGACCTAGCTGCCTTGAGTTACTAAGCCAATTGATTCTGTGTGGTATTGTTTTATTTATGTTAGTTAGTTGGGTTATCATCATTGCACTCCGGACATGTCCATAGGTGCTCAGATCCTCCCCTCAGTATGAACCCCAACGTCCGATGGCTAATAGTACCAGTTCTATGTTGATTAACAAGTCTTCTGGCATGTCTGGTGTGCGTCTCGTTTTTTTGCTATGCCGATCTTAATTCCCGTCTGCCATTCTGGCAAGTGATGTGGATTCACTGCCACCAAAGTCCTCTATCCTTCCCATTTCTCTCAAATTTTATTTATGTATGTGCTGCCAAAGGCTCCATAGACGCAACGTTCACATTTTGTTTGTGTTCATTATATTGTAAAGCTTGTTGATATACCTTTCATATGGTTTTATATCTTTTCTTGTCGACCTGCAAGACAGCAGATTTTTTTGTCCCTCTTTGATTCCCCTTCCTTGAACTACCACACATGCATTTGCCCTTAAGAAGGGAGACTGTTGTATTGTGGTTTACAGCAAGGCTGTGATTATCTGCAACTTTCAGGCTAACACATCTGATGTTAGTAAAATTAGAATACATCTGTCCAAAAAGCAAGGAACCAAGTCTGCATACAAATAAGCCAGATCTGTAAAATGCATGTTTATGAAAGAATTACAGCCAGGGAAGAGGGAGAAGAGATCTAGCATATTTCAAGATTATATCAATATTGAAAACTGAAGAGTTGCATCAGTTCCAGAATAAAACCACAACTTACGAAACTATATTTGGATGCTGCAGTTCTTTCAACACAGAAATTTCTCTGATTGCAGTTGACGGTACCCCCTCTTCCTCCGATTCCAGTCGTATCTTCTTTAACGCAACAAGGCGGTTGGTCTTCTTATGTCGACCTTTATACACAACACCATAAGTACCTGCAAAAGTGAGAATATATACTCATGCACACATTTTTTACATATACAAAGCAGATATAACGACCTTTATTAAAGAGCCTGTTGAAAAAAAAATGAGGAATAACTTTACTTCTTCGCGTTCAACGGCTGTAAACTCCAGCGGAAAGTTCTGGTTGTTCATCCACTTCTGGACTGCAGTCCTGTTCCAGAAGCTGAGTGTTGCATCCGTTTGACAGATCTGACTAATTTGTATGCAGACTGTTGGCTCCTTGCCTCTTAGGCAGATGCACTTTGACTTCGTAAGAAGCTCCCAATTAGTCGACTCTTACGACATGCTTTTGGAAGGGCAGTGGGTCTATTACTGTTTTCCCTATAACAGGGCCCCGGAACTCACACAGGAAGAAAAACTTCCATAAACACTGACACAAATTTGCAGACATAACTTTTCGGGGAGCGGGTCTCCAGGCCAAAATGGTCAAGCAATTTGCCTCGCACACCAAAGGTTCTTTTCAAGGACTGCGCCGTTTGGTTAATAAAAGATCCCTTTGAGCTAGAGTTCATGATATGTGCGGCACTCTGTTCTGTGGACAGCGACTGGTCTATATTGGATTAAACTCAGTGCATGAACGTGACTTCTCTTGTTTTTAAACTTCAGGATACCTTTTAAAGGCAATCGTCTTCCTAGAGTTCACTGGACATGAACTCTAACGTGACCGTGTGTCACCAGGGCCCTCACAGGAAGCAAAGAATAGTGACACTGCACCTACCAGACATGTCGTAAGAGGCGACGTAAGGGTAGGGTTGGGCTTGAGGTTGGCTACCTCATTCTATAAAAACAGTAGCCACAAGAACCAACCAACTATGGATAATTTAAATAATGCGGATACAAACAATACATTGCAAAATTTATTGCCAGGCATATTTCCCTGTATCTCATCAGGTGCGTTACTACAGAGTTCCATCAACATAAAATAAATCACAAAACTGAATAAAATCAACTTAAATGCAAATAGTTTTTTCCGATACAATGTGTCTACAGGAGACTTTTGAGAATCGCCGAAGCTTAACAATAAAATCAACAAATCCCTCCTTTGTAAGCAGACGGAATTTATTGTAAATTTTAAGTTACCCTGGTAAGTCACATGACTACAGTGAGCTTCCGGTTACCATGAAACAGACACAAAATTTACAGTGAATTTGCATCAGCGGCAGCTGAGTGGTCAGCTCTTCGTTCTGATGAGGTAAACCCAGGAGGACCCACTTCATTTGCGAAGGATGTGATAGTCACCCACATTTGCATTCAAAGAACTGTTTCAGACAGTACCATACTCATACTGTGGCTAGACTGCATTGAAATAATTGCAGATACAATCTGTATATAACTACAAAGTTATTATTTTGTGTGTATAGGTGCAGTTTTCTGCCATTTTTGTTACTTGAAATTTTGTTCAGCATCTGTGAGAAGACAGAGACTCTTAGTGATAGGATCAGAAAACTGAACAAACTTTAAAGTATTATTCTCAAATTTGGATATATCCCCGTCTGGGTTCTGGGGCCCTACTATAGGGAAAACAAGAATAGGCCAACTGCCTACCCCAAAAGCATGTCGTAAGAGTCGAATGAGACAAGGAACCAACAGTCTGCACACAAATGAGTCAGATCTGTCGAACGGATGCACACTCAGGTCCTGGAACAGGACTGTAGTCCAGAAGTGGATGAACAACCAGAACTTTCCACCAGAGTTTACAGCTGGTGAACGAAAAGCAGAAGAAAAAATCTGAATATTTACTGCTCTTGTGGCTGCAAACCCATGGTAAGTTAAGAAAATTGTCTTTCTTTGTAAACATAACACCTGCTGAATTCTTCTCATTCTAACCATACCAGTAACAAACAAAAATATATCACCACATCCAAATTGTGCATTCATTCCTCTTTACAAAAATATTTACTTTTGTAGGGATTAATTCTCTACGACCCCCAAACCCCCCTTTTTTTTTTAAAACACCACCTCCTCTGCCATTTCTATAAAGTGAAATTAATGTGAGCCAAGTCTGTCAAAATTCATAGGCCTGAAAAAGTTAACAGAAAGAAAGCTTCATTTAAAATAAAAAGGACACTAAATTTACCTTCTCCAATCTTTTCAATCTTTGAATATTCATCCATCTCAAAGTTGGGCTACGTGTGACAAAAACTGTGAATCAGAAATAAACAACAATTTAATCTCAAAATTAGGTAAAATAAAGACAAATAATAAATATATAAAAAAAAAAATTTGGGTTTACTTTAAAAAAAAATAACTTTTAGTAGCAGTTGTATAATTTTTAGAATATATATTTCACAGCCCCCAGTGCAAACACTGTTTTCATCATCATCATTATCATCATGTGAAATGTCAGTAACTATGGATCACAGTGGCAAATCAAATAATTTCCAAACTTGAAGCGAAATATGCCAGGTAATAAATTGTGCAATGTATTGTTTATGTCCACATTATTTAAATTTATGTTAAAATGTGTTGTCTGTCCAACAAGTATCCTACTGTATGACAGCAAAGGTTTCTTGCTCACAAATCCTACTTTCTGACAAAAAAGGTTCAAACATCTGCCTACAATCATACTTATGGCCACACATGCCAGAGTGTAAAGACCTTATAAGGATGCCATGCGCAATGCCTGTTTCCAATAAATGCCCCAAAAAGTCAAAAAGTGCTTGGGGGGGGGGGGGGGGGGGGGGGTGTTGGAGATCCACATGAAAGGTGCCATTGACAAAGAGGAAGTGAGATGCCCATTTATGCGGGTAATCAAAAGTCTCGGGTCTGTGTGATGAAGAGAGGGTTCAATATACATATGTGAGGTTAAGCAGTCATGCACAGGATTTGATGATTCGGCTCTCCTTTGAATCAACCCCCAAAATGGCAGCTTTAATATGATGGTGCTCAAAACAGAGCTAAATTGGCCAATTTCTTGCCATAAAATATCCAAAAATATCCAAATGCAGGTCAGTTCTATAAAAAATATATGTGCCGAAACAAATGCTCTGACAGGGTCTTGGCGATACGTTACTTGCCGACCTGCTTCTGCGAGTGTGTCTCACCGCCGAGCGTATCCCCCGCGCCGTGGATCGGGACTAAACTAGATGGCTGGGACTCACGAGCGGCAGCTACCGCATCTCCTGCAACTTCCTCCAATTACTGTACTCGTAAGTCCTAGGCACTTAGTTTAGCCCCCATCCGCGCTCGGCGATGAGTTTAATCGCGTTTGGTGCATGCCGACAAGTCTGACATCTACCGCTGCTAAATCCTCCAATCGGAAGAACACAGTATTTATTGCTAATCGGCTTTCATCGTCTGTAATGTCTTGAAATTGGTCAACGGTCGCTAATATCGTCTGCAGAAACGCTCAAAATTGTTGTCAACAGTCAGTATTTATCCTCTGCTACTACTGTGTGCAAATGTTGATATTGATTGTCAAGTAATCCTTATTTTGCCGCGATTTGTTCCTTGGCAGAAAGTCTGTATTTTAGATATACGCGAACATAGTCGTTCGGATATTTTTTGGCCAGAATGTGGCATGCCGCCATTTTGGGGGTTGATTCAAAGGAGAGCTGATGATTCTTTAGGCTGACTTGCCCCAGTACCAGTTATCTCATCATAATCATATAAGTATGCGTCCCCTCTAATCTGTAAGAAAGAGAGCTAAGGCTAAGGCACATCCTCCCAGAAATATGTTATGATTTACCATTCGGTCAGCATATTATTTTTATTAAGTATCCGAACAAGGCATAGACATTTTTTCAAAAGACTTTTGTTGTTTGTATAGCATAGCCACCCCCCCCCCCCCCCCCCCCACAATCAATGTTTTTTCTTGAACGATACACCATATTTTTTATTATACAATAATATAATGATATCATAAACCGTGGGATTTAAAAAACTCAATTATAGAGTTTAATGTTACAAATAAATATATTAAAACTAAAATTTAAATAGACAAACTTACTACTATATTATTACTAAGTTTACTCGAGAGGTCTATCTAACTATCTAGGCAGTAAAAAGCTAGGCAAAGTCGCAAAGATAGATTGCAACAATTCGACATACATATCAAATCTTCACCTTCTTATTTAAACAGTAGATGCTGCGACAAAGCTTCACAGGATCACACTAAGATTGTTTTGAAAATAAAGGCAAAGAAAAAGGTTGGAAGGCAAGAAACTTACCTAATTTCTCGAGGACCGTCCTATCGAGAGAAGAAATCCTGTAGCGACTTGCGGCAGGCAGACAGCAGACGTTCGAACTGACCAATGGTTGGCTTCCTTTTCGTTGTCAGTAGTAAACAATCGCTAGGTGGCACTGTAGCAATCATCATCATCATCATCATCCATCATCATCATCAAGTGCAAGGATGCTTCTTCCTCGTTCTTGCCCACATAGTACTGCCTAGTGCAGTGGTAAATAGCCTTGTTAGTCAAAAGAGCCAAAAATCAGCTGCAAGAGAATTGCAGTTTTTTTTTTTAAAGCGACATTTTTTTTTCAAGAACCCGTCAATAACGATGTGTTTTTTTTTTCAGTCAAAACAGATTTGTAGCCGACTGGCCAGGTCGCTAAAGAGCCGCATGCGGCTCGCGAGCGTGATTTGCCGACCACTGACCTAGTGTAACAAATAAAAGGTTAAAGTCGAGAGGATCAACTTCATCGCACTGGGTTTTATCCAATTTGTCTCGGTCTCTCTCTGCAGAATAGCTAGCCGCCTGCCTAGAGTGTCGCAGAGAGCACGACCTTCGTAGCTTCGGCGACGACCCCCAAAAATCTCTGTAAAAACTGCACCCGTAAACTGAACGACGAAGCCGTGAAAGGAACCAATGACCTTCAAAGCGCGAGGCAAACGGCTTGACCACTTCGCCCGGAGTTCCCAGTGGCTGGTGTCACCGTTACGGGTGCCCGAATTATAACTTCGCTGAAGGTTGAACAGGGTATCTGGGATCTGCATTGTTTGTCTGCCGTCCAGACTGAAATTTTTAAATCTCAAATAGGGTAAACTTTAAGTAGCCGCTTAGAGGGGACAATGTGATCCATCGTCTGAACTTTCTGCCAGAGTTTACAGCCAGTGAATGCTTCTTCTTCTTCCTCAGCATTCCGAGCTCCTGAAGTTCATTGCTGCAGATATCACCCGCCCCCATTCATCTCTTTGGTTGGCCTTCTCTTTCCAGCTGGTGACACCAAGTGTTTGCAGGACGTTATCTCTCCATTATCTTCTTGGTCTGCCTCGTGGTCTTTGACCATTCCCTTGTGTATACAGTATTTTTTACCTCTTTGTCATTTGACATTTTCTCAATATACTCAAGCCATTTCAGCCTATTAGATCTCATCTTTTTCTTCGATCCTTCTGTCAGAAAACATATCAGGAGGCAAGTAGCCTTTATGCAAGCTATTGTGCAGTCCATATCTTCTCATGTACCACAGTTTTGTCTTCATTGTGGTTGGAACAGGCCAGATTGCATCTATGTTGTTAGCATACAGTTGACAGTACTGGAGCACATGCTCAGCATTTTCGGGTGCCAAGTTGCAGGGACACGTCTGTGTGTTTCCTACACCAACAAGTTTGAACATATGTTGACAAAGTTTGTTGTGCCCTGTCGTCAATCTGAATATTATACACTGTGCATCTCTAGAGAGGCGATGAAGTGAGTCTTGAGGAGAAAATTTGGTGTGTGTATCCAGCCATCTTTCTTGGATACTAGATAATATCAATATCTTAGTCTCTTCGTGGGTTAGGTCACTGTTTGTTTGCACCATGTCCCTGCCGCTTCTAGCCAATCTGATATCAATTTCATTGCCTTCCAAGCTACAGTGACATGGATACCACTGCATTACAGATGTTCTACTGAAGAATCTAGGTGAATCAGCTGTTGTATCAGGTCTACAAACTGAGTGTCTTTTGGGTTAACAATTGCATGAAGAACTTGAGATAGCATCAGTCAGAAAGACCGGTTTGCTTTATCTGCTGTGCTCTTGTTCATACAAGAAAGAACATGCCACCAGAAGTGCATCTGCGTCTTCTCTGCAACTAGAGGAATATGAACCTGTTGGTATAGCTTGGTTGATTTTTAAACCGTTTGGGTATTCTATATATATTCCTGTATACACTCTAATCCAGCTCTGGTGTGGATAAAGTCTATTGATCTCTCCTTCTGTAACTGACTTCATATCAGTGCTGCTCTTTGATGATTTGGAGGAGATCCCTGTTACAGTGGTTCTGACTGTTGGCAGGTTATCCCTAAACCAAGAGAAGCAGTGTTTTGTAAGGTTTCAGTGGAACATTTGGCCATGACGCATCAGAGGGCTAGTGTCATATTTTTTATAGACACCAACTGCCTTTACTTCCCAGGACTTAACCTGATAACCAATTAAGGCCGGATCAAATTAGGAGTCAAAGCCCTGTTTAAAAAAAAAAAAAGAATAATCCAGAACTAGGCGGAACTGAACTCACGACATTCTGATCCGTAGGCAAGCATCTAACCACTACACTACGGCAGCTCTCAGCACAATACAGAGACATTTGTAAAGAGCTTCATAGTGACTTAAATCTGTTTCATCCCATCTTGATCCTCTTGTACCTTGCAGTAGGTGGTAGGTGTATTGCTGGGTAAAAAATCATCACATTCAACCAGCATCCTTAAGGGTAAGCTTTAGGTTATAAATGAGACTAGGTTATGTGCGCCATATAAAATTACTTAGCCAGTGTCGTAGGCGATTGTTACTTTTAAGCTACAAATGTTTGGGTCTCAAAGAAATATATTCATTATGCACTTTTCTTTTTTTATTCTTCGTGTTCACCGGCTGTAAACTCCAGCAGGGAAATTTCTGGGTGTTCATCCACGTCTGGATATTAGTCTTCTTCCAGAATCCGAGTGTTGTATGCATATCTGTTTGACAGATCTGACTTACTTGTATGCAGACTGTTATTTCCTCGCCTCTCAAGCAGATGTAGTCCCACTTTGAAGTAAACATTCCTGATTAGTTTTTTTTTTAAGGACATGATTGTTGGGGGGGGGGGGGGGGGAGAAGCAGCTGATCTATATAACCCCCCCCCCTTTTTCATAATCCAAAATGAGAACCTAGGATCACACACAGGCCATTATGCACTGGAATAGGATAACAATAG